CCCCCCCGGCCGCTGCCTGCCCCTCCGTCCATCCTCTTCAACCTGGGTAAGGAGCTCCCCAGAAACACCCCCCCCCCCATCCCCATGGGCTTCTGCCCCCATCAGCCTCTACAATCCTGGTAAGGAACCCTGTGCCCCCCCCCGCCCCACCAGTTGTCCTCCACCGTATTCACCTTGGGTTCTGTTGACCCTGCTGACCTTGCAGCCCCCCCCTGCTCTGGGGGGTGTGGAGCCCTGGGGGAGGGGACAGGCAGGGCTGTGTGTGCGCTGACCCCAGGCAGGGCTATGTGCACGCTGACCCCAGGGGACCTGTGTGCGCGCGCTGACCCCAGGCAGGGCTGTGCTGACCCCGGGGGGCCTGTGTAGGTGCTGACCCCGGGGGGGCTGTGCTGACCGCAGGGGGGGCTGTGCTGGCGCTGACCCCTGGGGGGCTGTGTGGGTGCTGACTCCCCACAGATGCCAAGGGCCTGTCGAACCCTGGGGAGGTGGAGCTGCTGCGGGAGAAGGTCTATGCGTCTCTGGAGTCCTACTGCAAGCAGAAGTACCCCGAGCAGCAGGGCAGGTACGAGGGGGGGGGCACCCAGGCAGTGGGGCAGGTACGGGAGTTGGGTAGCGGGGGGTATGCTGGGCAGTGGTGGTGGGGGGGGTATCCCAGGCAGTGGGGCAGGTGCGGGGGGGGTACGCCGGGCAGTGGGGCAGGTATGGGGGTGGGGCAGGAGGGAGGAGAGGCCTGGGATGGTGTTGGGGGCAGGGGCCACTGCCCCAGTGCCCGGGTGTCTGCCCCGGGAGCCGCCGCTCACCCAGGACAGGGGTTGCTGCTGTCGGTGAGGCCAGCTCTGCTCCTGGAGCGGTAGATACTGCAGGTGGCCACAAGGTGGTGCCAGCTCACTGTGTCTGACCCATAGCTTGTCTGGCATGGGGGGTGTGTGTGTGCGGGGGGAGGGGGGGTTAGTGGCAGTGAGAATGGGGCGGGGGGATCCCACAGGTGTACAGGGAGTGGGAGGGGTTCTGGGGCAGTGGGGGGGGGGATGTTGGGGGGTGCAGGGTGCCATGTGTACGGGTAGCGCGGGGGGTTCTGGGGCAGTGGCTGAGGGGTCTCCCCACCCCCCATCTAACCCCCTGCCTGCCCCCCAGGTTCGCCAAGTTGCTGCTGCGCCTGCCGGCCCTGCGCTCCATCGGTCTGAAGTGCTTGGAGCATCTCTTCTTCTTCAAGCTCATCGGGGACACCCCCATCGACACCTTCCTCATGGAGATGCTGGAGGCCCCCCACCAGCTGTCCTGAGCCCCCAGCAGGCCACACGAGAGCGGCGCAATCTGCGGCGGCTCCCCGGCACCCACCGCTGGACTGGGGGGCTGTGGACTCTTTTTGGGGGGCTGCCAGGAGAAGGCCCTGGGGGTAGTGTTGTCAGTTGTCGTGTTGGGGGGCCCCCTGGGTGTTCCCCCTTTCCCCATCCCGGGTTTGGGAGCCCCCTAGGGTGTACTCTGTGTGCCTGCCTAGAGCTGGGGTGGCCCCAGACCGCTCCCTGGGGTGGGCCATGGGGTGTACCTCGTTCCCCCAGTTGCTGGCACCCCCTGGAGGTACCCCGGGCTGACCTCCGAGGCTCCCTCAGTGCTGTGGCACCCCAGTATTGGTGTACCGGGGGGAGCAAAGCTAGAGATTTCAGGTAGGGGGGTGAGAGGAGCCCCCCCAAACTCCCCACTGTAAAATAATCCCCCATCTACCCCTTCTCTCTGCAGGGCAGTGGGACCCCCCATGGCGTGGGAAGCCTGGCCCAGCCCCTCACCTTGTGGGGGGACCTTCTGGCCTCACCCCCTTCAAGGGTTCCTGGCATGGTCCCCTTCCCCTGTCTGGCGGGGGGGGGGGGTGTCGTTCTGGCGAAATCCCCCTTGAGTGCTTCTGTGAGGAATGGGTGTGCGTGGAGTGACTCCTGTGCTGTTGGGGGGGGGATTGGAGTCTGTGTCAGTCCTCATCGCCCCCAGCCCCTCTCCACCGGGGCTGTTACCCGCCCTGT